GCAGCTTGTCAGCTACTGCGCGACCAACTCCGCCAAGTGTCCGCTGTGCAAGTCCAACAACTGCAACAATGCAACTTCGATATCACAATACAAGAGCTGCATATACTGTGACTCCTTCAAAAGCACATCCTGCTTGTCGGACCCGACGAGCACGGCACACAAGCGTCGCCAATGCCAGGGCGACTGCATGTCTGCGCTCTATGGCAGCTCCGAGGCTGGGTTAGATCTCATACGCACTTGCTTAGATGATAAGGAGCCAGAGGATCAATTGTCCTGCGCGGCTGGTAATGATGCCAATTGCGTGTCCTGCTCGGGAGACGACTGCAATGTGCAAGCCGTGCCCGCGGATCGCTTAAGCTGCTACCACTGTGAGAACGAAGACTGCGAGGAGCCCGAATCCAAGCAATGCGAGATTTACAAGCCTAACGACAGTTGCTTCCTGTGGATCGACGAGGAGAACAGCATCAAACAGGCGGGCTGTCTGAGCTCTTTCCGCAACCAAGATTTGGAAAGTGTGATCAAGACAAAGCGCGTTACTGTTTGCGAAGGCGAGAACTGCAACACACCCCAGCTCCAAGTTCCTGTCAAGTGCGCCGTCTGCGATTCTCGTGAGGATGCCACATGTGTCACCAATCCCCTAGCAGTGGACAGCTTTAAGACATGCAGCCAGCTGCCGCATACACACTGTGTAACCAAGCTGGAAAATGGCAAGTCTGAAATCTAGTCTGATAAAGCTTAGCTAATTAATATTTTCTTTTTAGATGGTGCAACAATTCGTGGCTGCTTGTTTGACCTGCCTCAGTCCGAGTTTGCGGCCTGTCTACTAGGCAACGATAGCAATTGCGAGGTGTGTGCCGAGGACGGCTGTAATCGCGAGGTACGTTTCACTGGATCGCAGCTTGTCGCCAGAGAACAGGTTAATAATCGAACATTTCACCTTCCTAGATTTTCCCGGCTGATCGGCTGCAGTGCTACAGTTGCAGCTCGGCGGACGACAGCAGTTGCATTTCCAATCCCACCCAAACATCGGTGTGTGCCTGGCTCAGCGATACGGAAACCTGCCAGACCCGGCTGGAAGACAATGTAACGACGCGTGGCTGCAGCAGCTCGATTGGCTGCAACGCCACCGACTACCGCAGCTGCCGCAACTGCGTTGGCAGCAACTGCAACTCAATTGATTTAGCCAATCGTGTGGATGATGGTCAGCATGGTTTATTCCAAGATTTGCCATTGAAATGTCACAGCTGCGAGGGCGAACATTGTCACAGCTCCCTGGGCCCGGCCGTGGAGTGTACACTGAACGCTGAGCAGGATTGCAAGACGGTGTTTGACCTGGACGGCAGCACGGTACGCAGACGCGGCTGTGCCGACGATGTGGATAACTACGAGGATCTCTACTGTCGCCAAAACCCCGAGCTCTGCTTCACTTGCAAGTCCAACGAATGCAACGATGCCTGGAACCTGGCTGATTACACGAGCTGTGTCTTCTGCAACTCGGCGACAGATACTGAGTGCATTACCTATCCACAGAGCGCCGACCTTGCCACGCGCCAGTGTGTGGGCAAGTGTATGGTGGCATTGGTGGGCAAGGATGTGTTACGCAGCTGTCTGGACGACAAGGAGGCATTCGATCGTGTTGCCTGCACCAGTGACGAGAGCGGCAACAACTGCGCTGCCTGCGAGGACGGAAAGTGCAATACATTCCCCTTCCCGGCAGATCGTTTGAGCTGCCACGTTTGCACTGGCAGCAGTGGCTGCAGCTCAAGCCATGCACAATCCTGCATCGCCTATGAGAAGGACGACTTCTGCTTCGCCAAGTACAATGATGGAGCCGTCGAGCTTATGGGTTGCGCAAGCAGCCAAAACAGCAGCGATCTGCAGCATTGGCGTGATTCCAATCTGTTGCATGAATGCGCAAGCAACGACTGCAATGAACTGAGTCGCCTGCCCTCCAGTGACGTTTGTCTGGCTTGTGACTCCAGCAAGACGCCCGACTGTGCCCAGTCGCCCACTGACGTGACCAGCACGCAAACCTGCCATGCACCCTTGGCGGACTGCGTCACCCGAATAGAAAATGGACACACCATACGTGGCTGCCTGAGCAGTCTGAGCAGCACCGAGGGCACCGCATGCGTGGCCAATGGCACCTGTGCCGGCTGCGCCGGTGAAAAGTGTAACGTAGACATCTTCCCGGCCAATCGGCGGAGGTGTCACATTTGCGATTCGACCAGTTCCAACTGCGAAGAAGAACCAAATCATCTGGCCATTTGCCCCATCTATGCCGCTGACGACACTTGTGTCTCTGCCCGTGGATCCGACAACTACATACGGCGCGGCTGCGGCAGCCAACTTCAGTGTGAGCTCGATGACGAGGAACATTGCAATGTGTGCAACACGGATGGCTGCAACACGGTCAAGTTTAACGGCTCCGCTGCGCTCAGTGGCTTTGGAGTTGCATTGACTCTCCTCTGCGGCCTGGTAGCCAGCGGCTGGCGGCTGTAGTAGCAACTGATCCCCATCCACCTATCACTTACTTGCCATAGCTCATAGTTAAATAGATGTACATAGAATATATTCTATACGAAAAAGCTTAAATTAAAACGACAATATTTTAGAATCATATACAAATACTGAGTACTTTTTCTTTTATTTCAGCGGATATTACCCTCCCTCATACACAGCTCCTGTGACATATTGAATCAAAGTAGTAAGCATAAATCGATCGAGTAGTAAGCATAAATGCTTCATTCATGTTTATTTCCACAAAATTTTCCACAGTTGCGGGTGAAAATTTTCAATACTTTATCCAAGCTTAAACTTAAATTACTTAAAGCAAGGTAACTACAGTACAAATTTTAGCTTACTAGCTCTTGGACGGATCAAGTTTTCTCTCCTCTTTTTTCCTAAGAACACAAATGAAGCTTTTGACAATATGACAAGATATTAAAATAGAAGCTGGCAAGTAAATGCCATCAAAGAGCAATGTTTTATGTTACTCATGGCCATATACGATTTATCTTAGGCTTCTTTATCCTATCGCGATTTTGACCAGTAGCTTTGCATTTGGGATAAAATTGCTGTTCCCTAAATTGCCACCCATAAATCTGAGCGTAATTGCTTATTGCCATGTTTAGCAATTAAAAGCAAATCAAATGGCGAGGCGACAAGTATTTTTGTTGGTCTTTTCATTTGAATTGCTATAAGTTCATAGAGTGCCGCCAGTTGACCACACAAATTGTCAGTTGTAGTTAATCTTGATGGCAATAGAAAGTGACAAATTGAACTAAATTTCGTTTAGGGGGAGCTTACGTGCACCCAAGTTTCGCTTTTATGTGAGCTCTATTATTCTACAATTTGGCAATACCCAAATTTCAATTTGTGCTTTGTTCAGGCCCATGATGAGTTAAATCTTAAACTATGGCAATTTCCATTTGCATTTTATTTCCAATGGTTGCGTTTAGCAATTTCTTCAAAACTCCTTAGAAGCAAGGGGTGGGTAAGCACGGTTCCCGGTTGGCAAGTTTCACTTTTCAACTTTATTCGAGCACGAAATTGACGTGGCAGACGCACAAGATTTTTTCGTCTAGCCCCTAAAGGCAATGCGAGTGGAGTTTTGGGAATTGAAAGAGTTTGGTACAGACGTTTCTCTGTGTCTAGCCTGGTTGTAAACAAATAATGTAAAAATTCGTATATACATGTGTTTACACTTTTTTACTAATTTTAGAGAATAATATGAGCCACAATTTGACAAAAATGAAGTTTCCATATGCGTAATACTCTGTTCACAGTATATCGAGCAGTAATATATATTAAAAATAAAATAGCTCACCCAATTGGACTAAATAATAATTCATAATCTAAAACCATATACAACCTAAGACGTTTAAGCGTAATTTGCGCATTTATTTGCCAATGAAGTCCACAAATTCTTGTCTTGAGCTAGATGTTTTGATCCGTGTAAAATTATAATTTACCCACATCAAACAATATTTGATTCCACGAATGATCGATCACAGCACCTGCCATGGCCGTGTTGTTGCTTTAATCGCAATCACACAATGATAACTTCATGCAGCTGTCACAACAAACCGACCGTTAACCCAGCAGTTGTTGACCAATTTATTTAGCCCCGTTTATAGAAGTGGTTGCTGCTGCCGCCGCCCAGTGCACACTGCCCACCACTCGCCACTCAGTTGCTGACAGCGACAGCCACATTTAAAATCTATTAGTTCACCAACTGCAAATGCCGGCAATTGCCAAATGGACAACTGGCGGCTGGCGTCTGGCGACTGCAACTGCAGAGCCTGTTTCTGTTTTCAGTTCATGTCCGCGCCAGCAGAGAGCAAACAAATTTAATAAAGCGTCGCATTCGCAACCAAAACTGGATCTCACCCCCGCCAGCCAACCCGGCAGCAAGCCAGCGCTTCGTGTGCTGTAAATTATGTGCAACAAATAAATTATTTTCAGCTCTGTCATTTGATTAAAATGTTTAAGTGCAACACAAGGCAATGGAAAATAAATTGCAATGATGTTGCACGCTGACGGGCCACGGGGCGGGCCAATCTGTTGCATGCAACATGGTGACCCAACTGCTGCAAGAACTTTAACCAAGCTTGTGTCTGCGATTCAATCAAAGTGAGACCCTGTTTTGCTTGCTCTTTTGTGTTTAAAGTTTGTTTTTAAATAAAAAATGAGTTTTTGAAAATGGGAAACATATAAAAAAAAACGTCGCACTTGCTTGATCAAGAACATATATAAATGATGGGGTCGAAGATGCATCCTTCTGCCTGTTGCAAACGAACATATTATGCCGTTCCCCATATTAGCATATCAGCTATTACAGCAACGTTTAATATTAATAAAAACGGACAATCCAAAATCCATCGCCTTTTGTAACAATTTACATAGCAGCTAGCTTTTGGCAAGCGTTTCAGCCAATTGATCATATGAAGCACCCCATTCACATTAAAAATTCCAATAAAAAGATATTTACAAAATAATTTATACGACTTGTAGCTCACACAAAAACACATCACATCAATATTGCCTTCAGATCACATAGGTTAAACCTTGGCCTGTACCTTGCGTAGACCCGACTTCTTGGACGGCTTCAGAACAAAAAACGAACACATAAGCGTCTCATCGACGGACATCATAGCACCTGCGTTATCGAACTCGCCGCAGTAGTTGGGGGCCGAGAAGATTGTTATAAGCTGGCGCTTGGCAAAGAACTCGTACCCATCTTCGACTACTTGATGAGCACGACAGATCAAATCAAACTTGAAGCGATGCACAAACTTGCCCACCGTATCTGCACCGAATGTGACACTAACTCCACGATCATTATCGCTCCAGCCCATAATCTTGGCATCCGGATCGGCCCATAGCAAGTCGCAGAGCAGACCTTTGTCGGGAACCTCGCAAGGTCGCGGTAGCTTAGTTATTTGGGTCATGTTGTTCAGTTCAGGACTGAGCCCACCATGACAGCAGAAAATCTTCGTATCCACAATGGCAGCCACCGGCATGCAATTATAGCAGTCCACAAAGGTTCGCCACAATTTGACGGTATAACGCCGCTTACACTCATCATAGAATCCATAGATGCGGTTGATGCCAGCACTTTCGTGATTTCCACGCAGAACAAAGAAGTTTTGTGGGAACTTGATCTTGTAGGCGAGCAACAGGCATAGCGTCTCAATGGATTGCTTACCACGGTCCACATAATCGCCTAGGAACAAATAGTTTGAGGCGGGTGGATAGCCGCCGTAGTCAAACATCCTCAATAAATCCGTAAACTGGCCATGTAAGTCGCCGCAAATCTTGACCGGCGCTGAAAGCTCCAGCAACATGGGCTGCTGGAGAAACACATCCCTACAGCGCAGGCAGAGCGAACGAATATCCGTCTCGGTAAGATGCAGTTGCTTGATTCGCCGGACGTCAATAATGTTCAATATAATTTGGTCGATGTTTGCTGCTTCACCGACTACTGAAAGACGCTGCGACTGCGTTGCTTGCACCGCCATTTCAAGCTCCGCTTTAAACTCCGATGCGGATGCGACTCGTGCAGCATACAACGAGAATTTGAGTAGGTATCACAATGTTAACGGTTGGAAACATACAAAATGGGCAGCATCTACTTCTATTGATAAAATGGTACAAATGTTGACGTGACGATTAGTACTGACAAATGCCGCCAGGCTCCTCCTCAGTTCAGATTCAGACTAAAGATTGAGTTTTTGAGCATCACTCGCTAGTATTTTTAATGTTTTGCCGCGAAAACTTGCCTTGCGGATCTCCATTGGACGCAGCACGTCAAACGTAATAACCAAATCCTTATCAACGCCCATTGAGGCGCCCGCATTATCATAGACGCCACAGTAGTTAGGTGCCGAGAAGATGGTTACAAGTTGCCTCTTAGCGAAGAACTCGTAGCCATCTTCCACCACCTGATGAGCTCGACAGATCAGGTCAAAGTCGTGCTTACGTAAAAACTTCTCAATCACATCGCGTCCAAAAAGAAAGCTAACGCCACGATCGCTGGGCGAATAGCCGAAGGCTTTGCGATCGGGATCACTCCACAACAAATCGCACATCAGACCCTCGTCCGGCACATCAGTGGGTCGTGGCAACGATTCAATATCGCTTAGATCCATCAGCCTCTGGCTCAAGCCGCCGTGGCAGCAAAATATCCGTTTGGATATAATGGCTGCCACAGGCATACAATTGTAGCAATCGACAAACGTTTTCCACAGCTTGATCGTGTAGCGTCGCTTACACTCATCGAAAAAGCCGTAGACACGGTTTATAGACTGCGACTCGTGGTTGCCACGCAGCAAAAAGATATTTTTTGGATACCTGACCTTAAGTGCCAGTAAGAGCGTTATTGTTTCCACCGAATTTTTACCACGATCCACGTAATCGCCTAGAAACAAATAACTCACTTGCGGCGGAAATCCGCAGTGTTCCATTATCCTAAGCAGATCCGCAAACTGTCCATGCACATCGCCCACAACACGCAGAGGTGCATCCAAATGCAATAGCATCGACTCATCCAGAAAGGTCTCTCGCGCCACGTAGCACAAATTGATTAGGTCTTGCTCGAACAGTGGAACCCGCTGCTGCTTGCTTGAGCGGAACGACCTGAGCCTGGCTATTATCTCGATTAAAGTGAATTTTACCTCCATTATGAACGAGTTTCTTTGAGATTGATCACTCCGGTTCGAAACTGGTGAGCCCAGGTTATCATTTTTGGGCCTTGCAGTTTTCGGCGGGCCCATTTCATGTGAGTTTTGTGTGCTTTTTCATATATATATATTTTTTTTTTTTCTTTATTTTAACACAATAATAACATATTTTACAATGATAACCATAAACTGTCAAGAAAAACATTTCACGATTTCAAAATGCCAAGGTCCTAAAGCATGATAACGCACTTACGTGAAAAACAAAGGGGTGCACTTAAGTGAATATACTATAATTTGCAATTTAAATAATATAAAATCATTGAGTTATTGGTTTTTAATAAGACCATTTCGGTTTATTAATGACACCCTTGCATATTACAAATTTTGACCGTCGCCAACCAATTCAATCTTCTAATACATTTATATATATATATATATATATATATATATATATATATATATATATATATATATATATATATATATATATATATCATGATGAATAGCTAGCAGAGCGCGTAATTCTTATCTATACAAGCTTGATTCGCGTGAAAGAGTGGAATTTAACGAGCTTGCTAAACGTTTAGCACCTGTTATGACTGTATCAGCAGTAAATAATCTTTTTAATGCCTTGCCTTGGTAGATGTCAAAGGTGATCATCAGATTGCAATCGATGTACATGGTGGCACCAGCATTGTCAAAAATGCCACAATAGTTAGGCGCCGAGAAAATGGTGACCAGCTGGCGCTTGGCAAAGAACTCGTAGCCATCTTCGACAACCTGATGTGCACGGCAAATTAAATCGAAGTCGTTGCGTACCAAAAACTTGTCCACGACATCGCTACCAAATACCCAGGAAACTCCGCGTGAGCTCTTGTTCCAGCCATAGCTGCGATCTGGATCAGACCACAGTAGATCACACAGTACGCCGGACTCCGGAATATCAGTAGGTCGCTGAATACTGTTGATCTGGTCAATACTTGTCAAGCTTGGACTCAAGCCCCCATGACAGCAAAAGACACGATGCGAGATAATGGCCGCCACTGGCATACAGCAATAACAGTCCACAAAGCTTTTCCAGAGTTTCGTGGAATAACGTCGCTTGCACTCATCGAAAAACCCGTACGTCATGTTGAGATCTGGGCTCTCGTGGTTGCCGCGCAGCAAATAGACGGTCTCCGGATACTTAACCTTATAGCAGAGCAGCAGCGTCAAGGTCTCCACGGAGTTTCTGCCTCGATCTACATAATCGCCTAAAAAAAGATATCGTTGATGCGGGGGTGACCCCTTGTTCTTGAATATGCGCAACAGATCCTCGAATTGTCCATGCAGATCACCAACAATGCAGATCGGTGAACTTATATCTAAGCACATCGACTCATTCATAAAGGTTTCGCGTGCCATTCTGCATACCGCCTGAATATCACCCTTAGCCAATTTGATGGTGCGTTCCTGTTGCCGAGGCCCGGTCTCGAGTATTCGTATAATCTCATTAATATTTGGATAGAACATTTGTAAAACACTTTTTATTATTGATCCGATCCGTTTATTTTTGTATTTTTAATATTTTTTATATTTTTTTATGTATTTAATACTTGAGCAAGTTTTTGATGTATTTGAAAGGAAGAGTTCTGACAAGATGATGTATAGCTTCTATGATCACATGCCGGAGACGACCCCGAAGATTTCAATACAGACCAATTCGCCTACGTACTAACTAAAATCAGTGCCAAATATCTCTTTACTCGTTGGGAGCGTCATTTAGTACTCATTTCATTTGGTTCCGTATTCCATCTAGACAGTTCATCAGGTCGCCAGGATAGTCCATTCTATTTATTGACCAACACGTCCAGCACCAATGTAGCTATTCGCACCCTTGGAAAATGTAGAATACTTGTAACTGGCAGTATCCATCTATTTTTTCATTCTTTCCGGCGCTTTCTCCACAAGGGCAGTGAATTTGACTTCTCCCTCGCGTTTTTTCGGTTTCATTACAACCAGCGTAATATTTAGAAGTTCATCAACGCACATCATGGCGCCGGCGTTGTCATATTCGCCACAGTAGTTGACCGCAGAGAAGATGGTTATAAGTTGGCGCTTGGCGAAGAACTCATAACCATCCTCTACCACTTGATGGGCGCGGCAAACCAAATCTAGGTTAAACCGAGAGATGAACTGTATGACAATGTCAGCGCCAAAAGTGAAGCTTACGCCCCGTGAGTTCTTGGCCCACCCAACGACGGCCGGATCAGGATCGGCCCAGAGCAAGTCACAAAGCAGGCCATTTGTCTTGATTTCGCATGGCCGTGACAGGCTGCGTATATCATTGAAATCATGCAGCAGTGGACTCAGGCCACCATGACAACAGAATATCCTGCTACCAATAATGGCCGCCACGGGCATGCAATTGTATGTGTCCACAAAACACCTCCATAGTCGCACTGTGAAGCGGCGCTTGCACTCATCGAAGAACCCGTAAACTTGATTGATGCTGGCCGATTCGTGATTTCCGCGCAACAGAAACATGGAAAACGGGAACTTGACCTTGTAGGCCAATAATAGGGTTAGCGTCTCCACAGAGTGTTTGCCACGATCAACGTAATCCCCAAGGAAGAGATAACTCGCTTTTGGTGGATGGCCTGCTGAGTCAAAGTACCGGAGCATATCCCCGTACTGACCGTGTATGTCACCCAGCACATTTATTGGGGCTTCTATCTCCAGAAGCATTGGCTCCTCAATTAATACACCACGTGCAATCTGTAAAAGCTTAAAGATGTCTACTTCCGGCACATTTATACGCTTATCGAACTTCCAGGCAAGCAATGTATCGATCAGGTCGTCTAAATGTTTTGGCAATAGCATTGGTTTCATGATTTATATAAATGTATTGATATTGCATTGAATATTATAATCTTGAGCATATGATAGTGTGGATGGCCAAATATAGTGAAGAGAATTTGAAATCACCCCAATGACTGAATCAAATGAAAATAAAACTAATCTGACAAGTAAATCACATTGGCTACAAAATATGGAATAAAATGTATACAACAGCGAATTGTAATTCCATGGAGATTTACAATCGAATTTCTATGCAATATGGTGGCAGTAGCAATGGGTTATGTCGCATTAAGATAACTCTATCCAATGAAAAGCCCAAAATAAGTTGGAGTGTTCAACATACACCACAATGCGACCCTCTAAATTAACTTACAACAAACCGTCTTTATATACTTATAGGTATTCATATTTAGTTATTTATATTGAAATAAAAGATTTCGGAAAGTTAATATCGACGAGTAAGATAATAATATTAATACATAAATGCATTTCTCACAGTGTGAAGCAAACTGCGAATCTGGGTTTTGTCGTTGCGTTTTTAGAATGTTTTGAAAGGTAGCTCGGCCCGAATTTAATGCGTATGCATATTAATTTGAATATTAAGTTAATTTTTAAGGCCTTAAGTAATTAATCACACAATTTCTTGCAACGCCTATAAATGAAAAGAATCTTAGCAATGTCCGGTATATTGAGCTTGCCCTCTTTTAATTTCCGCTTACCCCAGAGCCAATACGACAAGTTGTCAGTTCCATTTGTGCCCGGACAATCCACGGAGATTCCAACACATGTGTCACCATTGTGGCAGCCAGTGCAGTAACCAAATCGTCCTCGTCATTTGCAGCAACAGCTGACGCCATGCAGGTTTATCATCAGAGGTGTGTACGTGCCTTTGTCGTTTATTAGTTTGTGCTGGACACGGTTGGCGTCCAAAGGAAATTAAAATAATTCAAGCATGAAATTTAATTTAATTTTTGCAGCTGCAAAAAGTTTCTACATGGTACACCGAATGAAATTGTCTTATGAACATGACTCAAGACTCGGAAATTTTTAATCGAAAAGTTTAGGTTTTATTTTTAAGAACATATATTCTTCATTTAAGAACATATATTCTCTTGAAATTAAAGAAAGTAAAATACTTTACGGAACATGAAAACACAAGGAGATGAGTCAAACCAAGGCACTACACTTTCAAAAATGAGTCTCTGAAAAATTGAGCTCTAATGAAAAGAGGTATCCAAAGAGTGAAATATTTTAAGATAAAATATTCAATATATTAGATTAAATATGATAACTATAAAACAAGTTTTAAATGGTTGGTAAAAATTAAGCCATGCATAAGGATTAAAATTGTTCGATATTATGGAAATAAGAGGAGATATAAATAATAATGGCTAGGTCTACTCAGCTCGTTGTTCTATACAAGAATTTTTGTACTTTATGTGGTCGGAAATGCTTCCTTCTGCCTTGGTTCAAGCTATAAACATAGCTTTATTCGAAAGTGGTCGATTAAGAGACACCCTACAAGATGCAGTGATCACAGGGATGGCAGAAGCTTATTATTATTGATTTGCCATTAGCATCTGCCGATCATAAGGTGGCTACTATGCTTTTATATACTTTACCCCATTAAAGAGTATATCACAGAGACAACAATTCCAATTCTTAACAATTTTTTCCATTTAAACAAATTTAATCCTACGCGAAGGCAAAACAAAAACAGCTGGCACAAAACTAAATCCAGACAATTGAATTTGTTGCGGTGATGTTTTATATGGAAACGACCAACTGCAGATTCGCGATATACTTCCAACACACATGAACATACATAAAAATATGGGCAACACCCCCATGTATGGAAATATTTGTATTTTTTTAGCAAGGCTCACTGTGTGGTATTATTTAAATTGAATTTGCAAATTAAGTTTATTGTGTTACAGCGAACAGAAATTTATATTCTATGTGCGATTATTGTTTCGCCTTTATTTTTCCGACTCTTTTTAACGAAGGGCTTCACTGGGCTTATACGATATTTATTTATGGGCAGCAACTTGTTTGTTGTGCCTGGTTCGCCCTGGATGAGCAGCGTGTCAGGTCTACGAATCGGATGGGCATATATTTTATTGTATTGACTACGCTTCAATTGAAACAATTGAGCAATTGATTTGCATGCACAGAATTTGTAACTGGGATTCCCATTGAATGATTTATGACAACGCGTATTCCGTTTCATACGATTTTCTACAATAATTTACATTTGACAAATAGTCAGTAAATAACAAAAGCTTTAAAACGAGAGCCATCAGCTAACAGAAATTCCGGGAAGGCAAAAAATAAATATTCCAAGCTAAATCTATCAGAAAAGATCATTGGTAACACGTTTTATCTGCTTTAGCGATTAAATGAGGGAAGTAGACACACTGAACGATATTGAACTAAAACTTTTGTGAACGTATGCCATAAAAAAAATTTTCAAATTCCTTCTCACTTCCTTGAACAAATATGTCTTTACTTCCTTTTCCTATTGGGGCATGCAAAAATGTAGTGTTAAGGTGGAGAGTTATTGAATAACAAAAAAATACTTGTATTTGTTTCACAGTTCTTAAAGTATTTTTTAGTTTTAGATTTTTTATCTATAGATGACAAGTAATTCAATAAAGCCATTACCAAAGATTCCAAATAAAAGAAGATTCGTACAAGAGCTTGGCCAAATTAAAAAAAAAATAAATCTGTTTCAAATTCAAAACCTTTGCCAATTTTCACATGCTCACATAAAAAGATATTAATTTCTAAGTTGGCGCCATACATTCACTTCTTTTGAACTGTTTAGCCGGAAAAATATCACGCATACGCACTGTCGTGCATTGCACCCAATTTACATTTACTTGGCAAATTGTTAACAATTTTTGCGCAGCGTCTAGTTGGCACCATTTGGTCAGCCAAATACAAAAAGGAAGTAAAAACTTAGTATTCGGATAAAACTGACTTTTGAATACTCTGTTAACAGCTTTATAAACGCCTTTTAAGTCTGTAACTTTCGATAATATAGGTTTTTGCGATTCATTGGAACAGAGGTGGAAGTGACCTCAAAACTGTTAGCTATATATGAACGTAGCTACCTGACAAAAGTATGTGATTAATCTTGCCTTAAGCCCTGACAAATATATATGTGCGAATTATAAGACAGCTCGCTGCAGTAGTGTCGGACAGGCTGAAAGGCGGATAGTACTTAAAACAAATATTCTTTTTTCAGCTTGGAAACAGAGTGCTGTGCTGTATATATATTTATTTGTGTATACAAATAAATTAAAAATCATATAAAAACGGACACAGCAATGCAGATCGCTTTTAGCTGGCGCCTGGGCTGCCGTCACAATGACGCCTATGGGCCAACAACCCTGGCGCATCACATTTTCCATTAAATTCATTTGGTTCAGTTGCACATTTCTTGACTTTTGTGTACAGTACAAATAAATAGAAAGCAACGAGAGATAAATGTAAATAGGAAATGGAATGCATGACTGGTCGAAAAATTGTGCAGTGCTTGCGAAATTATCCATATAAAACGCTATGACTGGTATGACCCGGAAAAAATGTTCAACGGTCAGCGAAAAATGTAACACAGCCAAAGAATGTAAGTAATGGCAAGTGTTAGAAGGGTAAAATATGTGTCAGCAGGCGCTTTAAAGAGTCGTAAAAATAAGAATACTTTAGTCAAGCTGACAGGCGACTCAAGGGAGCATTGAAGGGATTCGAAATGTGGATGAGTGGAGATCGAATCGAAGCACGCTGTGATGACTATTTAAAGAATTTAATAATTATAATTCTAGGCAGTTATGAAAACCCTTCTAAATGCTTCCTATTACTAATTTATGGCTAACGAGCCCCTTTTGCAATGCGGTCACGTAAATTGTTCCAGTTTCAGGTTCCATTCCAGCTGTTGCAGCTTCGCTTAAGTGACTGTACCGTGGAACGTGTCGCGTGAAACAGCTTGTAACTGGCCAATCCGCCTCCACTTTCAGAGGGGATAACTGCTTAAAACTGAATATTAACCTGAAACTGCGCTGACCCCATCGAGGGCATAGAATGCATTTGGCTGGCCGCTTAATTATCCCGCACGTAATACTCCGACAGCCGGCGAGGTGAGACTAGCGGCAAATATTTGGCAGGTAACGCCTGCGCCGGGCAACTGTACGTGGAGTTGGAGTCCAGGTAATTAGCATCAAGTGCAGTGCAAATAAATTAATTAAATGCAAAGCACGTGCATAGCAGCCAGTAAAATGTATTCGCTAACCAAAAAGCTCGAAGACTAAGTGCATAATTTATGTAACCAAGTGATAAACTTAACGGGGGCAACGATTACACAATAACGGTCGGTAATGGGCAAGGAAAATTATATGTGAACGCCTGAAACTAGGCAACAACTATGCGTCTAAGACGACAATTTATTGGGGCACAAGTAAATATTACCCACTTTCCAAGTACAGACAACCCTCCACTAAGCCAGTCGGTCAGCTGGTCAGATGGTCAGCTGGTCAGCTGGGCAACCCCTAGACAATTTAAGGGTAAACGATGCTGACACAGACAGCACTTCGAAATCGACGGGTGCCAATTTTCTGTTGATTACACGACAACAGTGTTGTGTTGTGCGCACTTGCCACCCTTTGTTAAGTTGGGGGTGTTTCTAATGGGGTGGGGAGTGACAAGGGTCAAACGAAAGTTTTACGAGCACTCGCTGGCATTTAAACTACAGCAAAACTGTTCTAGTGAAAGCCGTTTAATGTGTTGTTGTTGGGTTTTACTTTATTTATTTTAAGTTTAATTCGTTTGGTTGCAAAAAGGAAATTGGTTTAAGTGGAACGGACGCACAGGAAAACAGTCGGCCCAGAGCCAAATAGATTTATCTAGTGAAAGTTTATCACCTGCTGGGCTGAAAGGTGTGGAGCGTGAATAGAAAGTTGAAGCTACTGCGACTGACAGTTTCGATATTGGGGCTTAGATAAGGAATGGTTTCATATAAGACTTAACTTAGCAGGGCTGCCACTTAAGTTTTTTGATGGTGGAGTAATTGTCTTTTAGCTTACATTAAAGAAAATTGAGCTGAGCGAACCAGTAAAAAGTGTATTATAATTTTAAAATGAAATCGTTCAACCGCTGGTTAAAGCATATCACGTTTGGTCCGGAATGGCCAACTTTTCATTCTATCATTCATTCAATCTGTGCACAAACAGAAGCCATATTATAAATCTTCAAATATCTGACAGGGCCTGCATGTAGTTTGTCTGCCATTCCCGCTGACCCATAGCCCCTCATTGTTCCATTACGGGCAGCTTTGCTGCTTGCAAAATCATACATCAATTTTGAAGCCACGAAAATAACATAGCCAGAGGGGGAGGTGTGAAAGATTTGCTCCCCTTTCCCGCAAGCGTACCCAGTTGCTATGACAACAAATGCCGCAACTGATGTGAATGCGAATGCGAATGCAGCCCGGCAGTTGCACGGTTGCAGCTCCGAGTTTGCATTTAGTCGCGAAATTTTTGACGCACTCGTTTTGGGCACTGTCAGGCATGGCAAGGAATTTGAAAGTGATGTCTGCCAGGCCGAAATTGTCAAAACAATTAATCATTGATGAAGAAAATGTACATGCAGCAACCAAACCAGCAGTACGAGCGACCCCACCAACCACAGCAACCACAACAGCAGCTACAGCCGCTTGGCTGAATTTTGCATATTTGCACCAAATGTCATTAGTTTTCCTGTTTGCCGACAGTTGTCCATTTGTCTTATGCTATTTACCCATATGGTCATTGCACTTTAAATTGTAATCTATTTAGCATTAGCAAAATTGCACATAATTGTTTTAAATAGCTTGATTGAAATCCAAGCAGCAACATCATGAAAATTTTAATTGCGTTCC